AGGAAGCAACCATGGGTACATCCGGACAGTGCCACGTCACGTGCAGGACAATGCATATTTCGAAGTGAGAGAAGCCAATCTGAAAAGGCTACACACTGTGTGATTCTAAATATATGACATTCCGGAAAAGGCGACACGATGACAGAATAAAAGATCAGTGGTTGCCAGGGGCTGGGGAGGGAGGAGAGGGTGAATTGGTGGAGCACAGAGGCTATTTAGGGCAGTGAAACTTTTCTGTGTGATACAGTAACGGTGGATAAACGTCGTAAATGTGTCAACCTGCTGGGCGCAGTGGCTCACACCTGTAACCCCAGCACCTTCGGAGGCCAAGGCAGGAGGATCACTTGAGGCCAGGAGTTCCAGGCTGCAGTGAGCTATGATTGCACCACTGCACTCCAGCCTGGGCGACAGAGCAAGACCCTGTCTCTAAAAACAAATAAATCTGTCAAAGCCCATAGAATGTACAACGCTGCTATGGTTTGAATGTGTCTCCTCCAGAATTCCGGTGTTGGAACTCGGTGGCCAAGGTGAGAGTTGGGGCCTTTACAGGGTGAGCGGGCCGTGAGGGCTCCTCCCTCGTGAATGGGGTTCAGGCCCTCCCACTGCCGTAGCAACGGCGTTTGTCCGCTGCGGGGACACACCAACAAGCAGCGTCTTGGAAGCAGAGAGCAGCCCTCACCGGACACCAAAGTCGCTGGCACCTTGATCTTGACTTCCAACCTCCAGAACTGTGAGAAATGAACGTCAGCTCCTTATAAACCGCCCAGTCCATGGTGTTCTGTTGTCGCAGCACAAACAGACCAAGAGTGAACCCCAAGGTGAAGGGTGGACCTGGGGTGATTACGTGTCAGTGTCGCTCCGTCAGTTGCGACAAACCTTCTGCTCTGGGGGTGCTGGTGGCGGGAGGGGGTGTGTGGAACTCTCTGTGCTTTCTGCTCAATTCTGCTGTGAACCTAAAATTGTTCTAAAAAATTAAGTCTATTTATGAAAAAAAGTTTCCAAAAACCTACACCTGCCAAACTTTTCCCAGTGGCTGTGCCATTTTGTATTCCCAACACTGTGGCAGACTCGTCACTTTTCTTTGTTAGATTTTAACCATTCTAACAGGTGTGTTTTGGTTCGCATTTTCCTTCTTGAGCATCTTGTCTTGCCAGCCTTTGCCACCCGGCTTTCTCCAAGTGTGGGGCTTGTTTTTTTTTTGCTAAACAGGATTAATAGGAACACTCCTTTAGAGGATCCGGTTGGTTTATCCAAACCCCGTTAGTTGAATACACGTCTTGGCAACACTGCTTTTCTGGAAGCTGGAGATATTTCGCAGACATTATTCACTGACTTTAATCAATACAAATCAATGACCAGTTGCAAAATAACAATAGCTGCTGCCCAGCCAGTGCCTCCCTCATGCCAGGCTCAGAGCCGACGCATACGTTCTTTGGGTCCACAATCCAGACACGGGTGGCGTGTGCTGTGGCCCCGATGGCAGCTGGAGTCACTGAGGCTGGCAGGTCCTCCGCGCTGCCGTCTCTGGGGAGCTGCAGCCAGAGTGGCCTCCTCTGTGCCCTGTATCCTCACTGTCCCCGCTCCCAGGAAGGGTGGAAACTTCAAGCTGTGTAAAGAATTCTGCTCTAAAAAACGTTTTGAGCCACCCGAGGCCACAGGCCGCCGCCAGCCTGAGTAGAGGAAGTGTGAAGTCCAGGCCATTGGCCGCTGCCGGGAAGGGAAGCGTGGTGGTTCTGGCTTCTGCAGAGCTGGTTCCCACGGCCTCCGGTGGCAGCTTCTGAATCGTCCATGGCTTTGAACAAGTGACACTTGTCCGCTGGCCTCTTGCCTGGAAGGCCAGGGTGGATTCTCTCGTTTTCCCCTTTCCTCGTTTCACAGGGCGCGTCTGCAGGCTGCCTCCTGGGCTGTGGGGTCGGCAGCGCGTCCCTCGCCAGCTGACCGCGGTGCTGAACGCTGCCTGCTCTCAGCAAAGGGGCTCCGGAACCCTGTAGATTCTTAAAGTTATCCAGGACCCCGAAAAGCTTTTGATTATGTGGCTTCATCTATTGATACCTACCATATTAGAAATT